GTGGGATGTGGGATCTGGGAGAAACAGAAGGGTGACTGAGACAAACATACTTCTTGCAAATATATTAGTTTAGTTTTTTTAATTTTACTTTCCTCACCTTTACAGCTTGTTTTTTTACTTACTTTGTATAGACTATGAATTTTTGTGGCAGAGATAGTTCCAGAAAGTTATTTTCTAGGCAGGTCCTACTATCCTGAATTTTCTAGTCCGGAAGAAGGAGATAAAAACCTTAGAACATGATTTGTATGAGTGACCCCACCCAGGGACACTGATTAAACATCAGCTGCTCTAAGGTGGTTTGGTGTGTGTGTGTGTGGAAGTGCAGTCTTGAGCAGGTGTTCATGTTTCTGCCAAAAGCAGCGCAGAACCTGAGCGTGTTGGAGATGCTGCCCTCCAAGAACAGAGGTTTGTAGAAGCAAAGTAAAAGCAAAGCCCTAATTCATCAAAATATTCTAATACCACAGAGCTCCTCTGAGAGTATCAAGGCTCAGCAGATGTGAAAGCTCATTGCAATTCCGCATGTTAAAGTTAAAGGGTTTGCTGTGAGAGAGAAGCAACCAGGAGGTGGAAAGCAGGTAATCCTGAACTTCCCTTATCATAAATAAATTTTGGTTTAATCTGTCCTGTGAGCAGCCACCAGTGCCAAGGAAACATTTTCTCCTGGTACTTGTGTGGAAAGAGAGTGTGTAATTTCCTCAGCCAAGTGACACTGAGGAGCCGGGAGGCAGACAGCTCTTATGAAAGCAAACAGCAAAATAACAGTGACCACTGGGCTTCAGGGAGGGCTCTTTGAAGATGTTTTTAAAGGCATTTCTATAGCTAAATCCAGGTTTAAGTCATTGCAATTGTAAACTGTGAACTTGTGGTCAGATGGGACAATGTTTTCTGACAGTCCAGGAAGACCAGGAGCAATGTAGCCAGGGATAGAACAGCTCAGTGCAGGAGGCAGCAACCTTTCCAAGCTGATTTACCTCTGTGTATGGATAAGTATGTCCCAAATGAGGGGCTGGATGTGTCAGTTACAAAAGCTGCCTCCCACAAACAGGGGCTACCTCTATCTGTCTGTCAGGTGTAGGAGATCTCAATCCTAGCTGGGCTTGGAGCCGAGCAGGAGTCAGGAACTACTGCCACTCCCAGACACTCCTCTCAGGATGCTCCAGTTCCCAGTCTCTGGCTCACCCATGAAAATCTGCTGGATGCTGGTTTTCTGTCCCACACCTCCCATGCTGCAGGAGACCAAGTAGCAGAACTGAGCTGGAGAATGAGCAGCTGCAGGGACCACTTGAGACTTGTCCCCCCAGGATCCTCCCCAGCTCCTGGAGACTCCAGGCCTGTGTCAAAAGAGGGCTCACACATGGAAATACCCATGAACATGTTTATCTTCAAAGACAGCAAACACATTCTATCTACTTGTAAGCATTTGTGTGGCAAATATAGAAGTATTATGAAGTCATGTTGTCAGGTTTGTTTAAAAAAAAAAGTCTTCATTCTCTTTTTTTGTAGGAGCTGTCTTCAGAAATACCTGCCTGTATCTCAGGATAAAGCCCTTGATGCACACCACTTCTGAGGGCTGAGTTCTTACCTCATGAGTAAGAGCTGCACCTCATAGAACTACTCAAGATTTTAACCTATTTCTGGCATTCTTACATGTCTATTATTGCTTCTTCCAGTTACAATCTACTTTTTCCTAGCAGGAAACTAACATGTGGCTTTATTAATACCTATCATCAATCTTATTTATTCCATCTATTTCCAGGTAATTATATATAGAGTATTTCTTAGTCTATATTCCGATGGCCTATTTAGAGATGAATGGATTCCTTCCAGAATGGCAATGACCTTTCTGTGACTCAAACATTAATTTTCTAAATGGCATCACAGGTGAAATACCTTATACATCATCATAATTAACAAGATACACCCTATTAATGGTCAGAAAACATGCTTTTCATAATTATAAACAGAATCCTTTCTGAGATCCAACCTTCCTCTCTGCTACAAATTGTTAATCAATACCATTGGATACATCCACAGTGAAACCTACTAAAGCCCTACTAAAAAGGCCACCTTAATTGCCAACCTAACATATCCGAGGTGCCCACAAAATGTAGATTTTAGAGACATTACACTTCAGGACTATTCAGATATTCATCTGCTCTAATATGACAAGTCTCTGGTTTGAAATAGACTGGCTTTACAGGCTAAATTGATCTGCTTGCTTTCCTAACTCAAGTCAACTCTGCCTGTGATTTCTGAGAGCACAGAGAAAGCTGTAAACTGCAATCCATATTCTCTCACGAGTCCTCCTTCCTGATTGCAAATTAAGGGTCAGGGGATCAGGTGCTTTCTGGTAAAACTTGGAGGAAGGATTGCAAGGATAAAGAAAGAGTCAGGGTGGAGAATAACTGTGCTCCATAAGAGGAGCTCCTTAAAGGAATTAAAGCACCTGTCATGGAAAGAGACAAAAGGCAGAAGCTCCAATACACCAATGTGAGCTCTGATCCCCACAGATCTTATGAGCAGGGCTGTGATCAGAGATCAGCAAAGGGAAGTGATGTTGGGAGAGCTCTGCTAATTCAGAGTGGTGACTTTCCTTCTGCAGCAGCACTGGGTGGAACTTCAGCCAAGTGCAGTGAGCACTGTGCTGTCAGCTGGGGTGTGTGAGATGCTGCTGTGACCCCTGCAGCTCTGACTGCTCCCAGCAGCTGAGAGCTTTACTCCAGGATCCTGTCCTAACAATGATGTAGAGAACAACATCCTGCCTAACTCCTGGCCCCAGTAATTTGAAGGGGGAAGAGCCTTCGTTTTCCCACTAAAAAGGTCTGCAAGGGGATGAACAGCACCTGCATTCTGCCAGACTGAGAGTTACTCATTGGACACATTGTTCCTGGGGTGGGAGACAGGTATATTTAGCACAATAAACACAATCTGCTCCCAAAGCTTCCTGACTTTCACGAATGGAACTCACACTTACATTGCTATAGGATGACAAATTTCCCCTTATTTTTATTAAAAGCTGCATGATGAAAAAGTGTTAAAAGTATGGGACAGTTAATGCTCTAGGGGATTAATTCATTATCATTTTTCACAATTTTTCACAGAGTTATCATGTAGTAACAAGCACAGATTGGCAAAAAATAGTGATGATCATGGATGCTATTTAACATAACTGCACAAGAACTTTTCACACACAAAACCAGAATGTTCAGTTCCTGCAGAAATGTACATGGGATTAAAAGCCATTAAGAATTTAGAAATTTGCCCTTGATAAATTGATAATTGTCTTTTCTAGAATATTGGCATAGTTTATGTTATTTTATGTACTTATTTTTTTTTTACTGTGAAGGCCAAATTTAATAATGTCATTTGTTTTGACAATATTTCGATAAAAGAAATTCCAAATATCTAAAATTAGCAGTCATGCTATACTTACAAAGATTAGAAGAGCTTGTAGATTAATAGGATTTTAAGATATTACCTGAAAAACTGTGCTGGTTTTAGAATGTTTTTCTTATTTCATATCAATACTATTAAAATATAAAGGGGAAAATTAAGGGGTAGACAACACAGATGTTTATATTTAATTCGTAGTCCTGTTTCTCTTTCTGGTTTCCATAAAATTTTTACCTCATTTTAACACTCAGCAAAGAGATTTGTTGCCTATGTGTGTGCATAATTGCACGTGGGTATATTTCTATACAACTTTTCAGCCTTGCAAAAGCCTTCTAAATTAACATTGTTATAATAAGCATAGTGTTCAGACAATAAAGACCTATAAACAAAAGAATAAAATTATTGAGCTATTTGTATTTAAATTGCATGTATACAGCATTTTGCATCAAAAATACTCTAATAAGAGCTGGTTAATGATACATTTTTACTATTCTTTAACAGGGAGAAACCCTATTGTCACATGTCAACCAAATACTCGGATTACAATCCTGAAGAAAACTGTGACTTATTACTATGGCAAAAGCTAATGCTTGCTCAAACACCATCATAAAACCTGATTATAGGTCTAATGGACCTCGCTACAAACTCTGAGTCTGGAAACCTCCATTGAAAGAAAGGAATGGTTGGCTATTGGGAGTGATAAAGCTTTCTTTGTTTAGTTTAAAAGAAGGGTTTTTCTAATATGTGAAATTATGAATCACCAATTTTCTAAATAAAATTCAAAGGTTCCAAATCCTGGTTTTATTTGTATTTTGCAAAGTGATAACTTCCAAATTCTGTCCTCTAACTCTTGCTAATGCCAACAGCAATAGCAGCAGGCTCTGAGGACTGAGTTCCCTGAGGACTGTGAAGACCACAGATGTCAGTGGGTCATGTGGGGAACCCACTGTCAGGAGTTTCATCAGCTCAAAATGGGACACAATTTTTTACACAGACTCCAAAATCAGTGCTTAAGATTATTGACCAGAAAGAACCAAAGCAGAATTTTAGTTTACCTGATGGTGTGAAGTGCAGAGTCACAGAATGGGTCAGGCTGGGGACCATATTTGGGTTATCCAGGCAGGGTTATCCCACAGCACATGGCACTGGATTGCATCCAGATGGATTTTAAACAAACCTGGGTTTGTTTTGAGTCCAACCTGTGATATAGATTGGATCAAAATTGCACCATAGTGTGCCACCCAGGCTGGATCTATTCTGTTTCAGCTACAGCTGAACCCCAACCATTACACACATGCTAAAATCACTGGTAGCTCTATGAGTAAGTTTTTCTGGGAGGGACCACAATCTGGGATTTACAGAAAACTCTCCAGACACATTTGGAGCCTGATCTTACAAGGCATTGAGCATCTTGGATTCCCACTCATGTTTAATACCTTAACAGGAGGATCTTGACACTTTGGAAGATATTAAGAAATGGGGGCACAAAGTACTTTCTATTCTACTACTCTTTGTCTTTTAAAACAATTTATTTAAATGACAGATGCTTTTTTTGATAATAGCATTTTAATGACAAAACCTTTGCTGAAATTCCTCCTTTGTTGCACCACTCTTCAAGGATTTTCTTGTACTCATTATACATCAGCTTCTCTGTCAATAAGTAGGCATCCTCTAGAACAAAAAACAGCAAATAGAAAAATACTAAAATGTCAGAAGTTTATGTATATACATCGATATCTACATGTTTTATATTTGGGGTTGGCATCTAATTAATCAGATTTGTTTCTGTCTCAAAGGCTTATTTCTGTAAATTAAAAGTAATTACACGATCAAAGGCAATTAAATTCTAAAACTGGGAATATGTGTAAAAAAACTGAGGGAAGCATGAATTCATTCATTTATGAGCAGGAAAAATATAATTATTTAGACATAGTAATACAGAGATTATGTGTAATTGCCTGTCAAAATCAGGTTAAGTATTGATAGCAATGACATTTTGTAAAAATCAGCAGATTGGTATAAAGTCTATGGATGAAGAGCAAATACTGTACCAGAAAGATCTTGAACTTGTGTCTTGGACAGAGGCTCACAGAGGCTTTGAGGCACTTGTTTCTTTACCAGGTTCTGTTGTTAAAAAAAAAAAAAGTGCATGAATGTTTTAGACTTACAACACTTTTAATGGCTAAAAGGCCTAAATGGATCAATTGAAAAACATGACCTACGGAAAAAAGTCACAAGAAAAGGAAATCTAAAAAACACAGAGGTGAGTCACATAAGATATAATTCTAGAAACACAGAACTGACAGGGGTTTCTGGTCCCATTTCTTGCACTCCTGTGCAGCAGTTCTCCAACAGGATAGGTCTGGGTGGGAGCAGCTGGGGAGCCAACAAGGGAGATACATTTGGGAGAAGACGATGGCCAAGACAGCACTGAAAGATGGCAGGCAGGGGAGGAATTGAGCACCATTCAGGGGAGGAAGCAAGAGACCTCTCAGTGGGGTCTTCCTCATGGGATGTGATCAGGGAACAGGTGGCTGGGAGGCCATGGCTTGACTCTGCAGTTCTTGACAGCCACAGAGTTCATTTGCTCCAGTGATGCTGTCTCACTCTGTTCCCACACCAAACTTTCACCTCCTGGCTGCACTTTCTGCTCTGTTCCCAGGGACTCTCCAGCAACACATTTCCCTCTGCCTCATTCCACCTACAACATCCCAGGGGCACTGTTCCTTATTTTGGGAACCACTGATCTGCTTCACCTCCTCAAATGAAGAAAGATCCAGTCCATCCCTGACATCTATTCTCCAAGGCTTCTGATGAAGGCTGTTTCCCAACATCCCTAATCTCTCTGTTTCAGTGCTTCACAGCCTTATTGCTCCGTTTCTTCCCTAATACTTAAGATAAATATTTATTGCAAATTAAACTGATTTTTCTCTTGTTCTACCTTTTGCAGACACAAAGAACAATGGAACAGCCCTCTTTCAGAATAACTCCTTATAGCTTGAGAGACTATTTTCCTTTCTGTAATCTTCTCTTTTGGAGGCTAAGCAAACACAGTCTCTTCAATATTTGAAAGGAACTCATGTTTTCTTAACTGGATCCTCCTCAATTTGTCACTACCTCTTTGTACTATGATGCCTAAAACTGGACTTTAGCTTTCAGTAACAGCAATACCAACGGCGTTTGTTTGGCATCATAATTTAACTCATGGCCAAAAAAATAATACAGTTCTGGTGGGGGTTAAAAATAATGTTTGAAGCAGTGTCTCTGCTGGTACAATGTCTGGAACAGATTAAAACTACTGCACTCTGCATGACTCAATAAAATTTCTGTTTTGTCATTTCACAGGCTTTTATTAAGTATAGTTGCTAACTAGGACTTTATCCATAGTTGTATGTAAGTAAGAACAGGATAGGTAAATCTATGAAAAATATCTGAGAATTGGCATTCCCCTATGGAGTCTCATTTTGTATGAGGGCAGTGTGTGTGTAAGTGGTTTACTCTGTATTTAACAATGTAGTTATTCCAGGTAACACGTTCTGAAACCAGGCCTAAAGTAAATGAATTCCTTGCCTAGCAGACCAAGTCTTAAATGAAAAGAATCTAATAAAACCTGCATGACTCGGTTTGGTTTAGAAACTCAGCCTGTGGCAAGCAGCCCAGAAGTGCTCACAGGGGTCAGAACTGCACTGTCCCACCCCAGCTTCACACCAGTGCAATGTTGCTGCTCTTTCCAGTGGATGCACTTTGGTGGAAAGGTGGTGCAAAGTGTGGCTGGGTACAGCAACATCTGTATTTCCAGGCAAACACACAGAAAAGTGTGTCTCTGACAGCTACAGACACTGACATGTGCAAGAGACAGCGGGGATGTGCACATGACAGATGGGGAGCTACAGCAGAAATTGCTTTTGTCGTGCACCTTTCGGCCTTTTGCCTTCACACTTGGGCACCAAGCTATTATTGGCTGATTAACAGCTCTGCCCTCCCAGCACATATTAAGCATATCAAGGATAACTGATGGAATACTGAGCCATAAATGTTTTCTTGGCATTTGTTTGGCCTATGCTATTTGGAAACAATAAAAGCATCTCATATTCATAATGATAATACATATATACCACCACAGATCACACCATCAAGCATTCTCCTTCTATCTTATTGTGCAAAATGTGGAGATAACATTAATGTGTATTAATAGAATGTAAATATAATTAATCATAATAGGATGTCCCTGACAGATTACCGCTGCTGTTGATAAAATATAATTAAAATTGTCTGGTTGGATTTTCAGTGCAGCTAGAATTGGCATCTCTGTTCCTTCTGCTTCCATGTGTGTATCTACAGAACGCTACACTTCTAAAAATCTCATTATTTCATAGTGTTTTTGGGAGAAAACAATGAAGGGCTGCAGCTCCTTTACATTATATGATTAATGAAATGCCATACAAAAGAAAGAAGGCCACACCCACAAAGACTGAATCTACAACTAACTCCAGAGAGGACAGGAATTTTAGGCACCATTCTCTCAAAAGATCATAAAGAAAATGAAACAGACAACACCTGAGACTGCATGCCCGTGTGATGGGAATCCATTCAAATGCAAGGTTTGCATTATTCAAAGACTGCTGGACTTTATTAAACAAGAATTCCACTGAAAGCTCCACGAAGTGATGAAGTCATAAGAGGACTATTGTTTCAGGTATATAGTTTCAGCTGAAACTAGTTTGAAAAAAAAAAAAAAATTTGAGAAGATGACAAAAGTAAGAGTGAGCATAGCAAGCACAAGGTGACCCAGAAACCATTTTTCACTGTGTTTTCCAAATAAAAAAAAAATGAGGTAGGGTCTACTGAAAGTGGGAGGTGGTGGGCTTGGATAGAAAGCAAGGGCTTTTTTGTGCACTGCCAGCTCATCACTGGAATTCCCTGCTGCAGGATGCTGAGGATGCAGCCGTTTCCTGTGGGCTCAAGAAGTGCCATGGCAAACAAATGGAGGCAAAGCCCACAGGCTCTCCTACTCCTCCACTACAGCTCACCTGCTTAAGCAGAATCCTCCAACACATCACCTCAAACAAGACATGGTTATATGCTGTTATGTTCTCACATGGATTCAGGTGCCTGTACACAAACAATGCCCTCCTTGCAACTCCTGCTGATGAGACTGAGCTCTGACTATGGTGTACATACAAAAGTTGTAATATAAAGCAACACAGCATTTTCATGACATCTACTTTCCTTTAACAGAATTACTTCCACGTATTCAGATCCACCCCTAGCCAATACTGCGTGTTTTGTTACAAAAGGGAGAGAAAGCAAGACTATCTCAATGTATTACCATGTTGGTGATACACAGCTGATGAGATAGAACCCATTATTGTATTTTAAAATTTACTTGCATTTCTAATGGTCACACAGCTGCTTTGAGTTATATAATCTGAAGAATGATGTAATGGTGTAGGAATAGAGAGCAGAAAATAATATGACTGCAAACAATATGCTCATCCCATACTTGTAGATGATCTTCTGATGTATTTTTCTGTCTTGATAAATGAAAATTGATGCAATGCCTTCTAGAAGCATGTTGGGCCTACCTGTTTAACAATGTTTCCTGACTTGGTTCATGTGGAATGAAGGGAGTTGTACTTGGAGATTTCATTAATATAAAGATTAATGAATTTGTACAATTTGGGCATGCAAACCATTTCTATCAGGCACATTCCATTTAGAATAAGCAGTAAACCATATATAAGGGTTGTGTCAAAGTTTACTGAATAGGGCCCTTGGTAGCTAATGTAACATTTCTCCAACAAATCAAAGGTATTGTTCTATGCTCACATGAATATACAGTAGCCATTACCTTAAATTTAAAACTCACTGTGAGCAGCAAACACACTGTGGGGATATGAAGGCCATATTGTATCAGTGGAGTCTGCAGAGATTTTCTTCATATGGCTTTGCCTGGTTGAAATATATGTTGCAGTTGAAAGCTAAAGGGATTACTTTTGAATAGTCATCACAAAGGTTGATTATATTCGTATATCATTTAGCTGGACCCTGCAGGCTATTATTCCATTAGCTGTGCTGGCCCTGCACTGTCAAAAAGTTGATCGTATAATGTAAAAAGGGTCCATGCTATGTTAAGGTATGTGGAGCAACTTGAAGCAGCAATCTTTTAAGAGCAGCACAGCTCTGGACTTGAAGGTAGATTGCATTTAAAATAAATACCCACAAAATGGAATAAGTACAATAAACCTACCTCTGTTTCCCATTTTTCCTTCTTCGAATAGGCTGGATATAATTTGAGTAAGTTAATTGCACCAGGTAAGATATTGGCTATGGAGTATTTTTTCATGCTCACAGCTGAAGAACTACACCTCAAAATAGCTGTGTCTTTACGTGAAACCCTTGCAGAAACGACATTTCTGGTGAAATAGGTTTGCTGATTACACTTCCCTGGCACATGCAAACACACACACACACACACACACACACACACACATATTTTCTTCCAGTGCTTAATAAAATGGATCTTCAGACGGTTCCATTATGTGGATGCCTTAATGTTATTTTATGCTAAAACATGGTCAGCACATTAGATTGAAAGCATCTTACTGTTCCAGGAGGCAGAGCAATCATGGACTATCCCTAGATAGCAAATGCTCCCATTGGGGAAACAT